TGAGCCCCCTGCACCCCAGCAAGACGCCCTGCACCCTGTCTGAGACCCCTGCATCCCAACCAGACCCCCTGTACCCCAAACAGTCCCTCTGTACCTTGACTAGATTCCATGCACCCTGTCTGGGCCCCCTGCACCCCAAGAAAGCCCCTGCAACCTGTCTGACCCCCATGCGTTCTGTCTGGGCGCCCTGAACCCCAAGAAAACCCCCTGCAACCTCTTTGGCCTCCCTGAACACCAACTGGACACCCTGCAAACTCTCTGGCATCCCTACAGGCTCTCCTGTGCCCCTTCACACTGTCTAGGTCCCCTGAACCCCAAGCAGATTCCCTGAGCCCCAACCAGCCCTGATACACCTTGTCTGCCCCCCACGCACACACCCCAACCAGACCCCCTGCACTTGACTAGACCCCATGTGCCCCGCTTCCCCTCTGTTCACCCCGTCTGTGCCCTCTGCACACCAAGCAGACCCCCTGCACCCCAAACACACCCCTGAAACCCGCCTGGTCCCCCTGCACCTGTTTGGGTCTCCTGCACCCCAACAAGACCCCCTGCACCCCAAACAGGTGGTCTCTATACCTTGACTAGCCCCCATGGAACATCTCTGGCCCCCCCTGCACCCTGATTGGCAGCTGTGCATACTGTAAGGGCTCCCCAAACCCCACGTAGACCCCCTGTCCCCCAAAGAGACCCCCTGCTCTTGACTAGCACCCATATGCACCCTGCTTTCCCCCCCCTGCACTCCAAGCAGACCCCCTGCACCCTCTCTGGACCCCCTGCAACCTGCCTGGCCCCCCTGGACCCTGCCTGGGCCCCCTGGACCTCAGCCAGACACTCAGCATCCTGTCTGGACCCCTCGCACACGACACACAACCCCTGCACCGCAACAAGATCCTACACACCCCAACCAGATGCCCTGCAACCTGCCTGCACCCTGTCTGAACCATCTGCCCCCCCAAGAAGACCCCCTGCACCCTGTATGTGCCCCCTACACCCTGTCTTGGCCCCCTGTTCCCCAATCAGACCCGCTGTAACCTCTCTGGCTCCCTAGCACCCTGTCTCGGCCTCCTGAACCCCAACCAGACCCCCCGCACCCCAGAAAGAACCCCTGCACCCCAACTAGCCCTGCTACACCTTGCCTAGTCCCCCTGCAACCTAAACAGAGCCCCTGCACCCTGTCTGAGCCCCGTGCACCCAGGAAGACTTGCTTCGCACTGTGTGGTTCCCCTGCACATCAACCAGACTCCCTGCACCTTCGACCCCTAGTCAGCCCCAGTGGTCTCCACTCCCTCCCAGTGTCTCCCAGTGCACACACAGTGCCTCCCACAGAATTCAGCATCTCCCTGTACCCTCCAGTCCCTCCCAGGGTCCCCCAGTGCCTGATAGCATTTCCCAGTCCATCCGGTGTCCTCCTAGTCACGTCAGAGACCCCCTAGTATTCCCCCAGTGCCCCAGCCCGTCCAGTGTCCTCCCAGTCCTGCTCAGACCCCCTAGGTTCCTTACAGTACCCTTCAGTCCTCCCAGCATCCCCCCCACGGTCCTCTGCAGTGCGTCTCCCGCTCTGTTCCGTGTCCCCTCAGACCATCCGTTGTCTCCCAGTACCCCCCAGTCCCTCTCAGCGTCCCTCCAGTGCACCTGCAGAGTCCCTCAGTGTCTCCCAGTCCTGCCACAGACTCCCTGGTAACTCCCAGTGCCCTCAAGTCCCTCTCAGTGTCCTCCAGTGCCCATCCCAGCATTTCCCAGTCCATCCAGGGTCTGCCAAGTCCTGGCAGACACCCCCTAGTATCGCTCCAGTCCCCATCGTGTCTCCCAGTACACCCCCAGTGTCCTCCAGGCCCCTCTGCAGCACATCCAGTGTCTCCCAGTTTGTGTCCAGGGTCTCCCAATATGTTCCGTGGCCCCGCAGACCTCCCAATGTCCCCCAGTGTCCTCCAGTCCTTCCCCATGTCCACCTGTCCTCCCAGTGCCCTCTTGTTGAAAAACAGTGAAGGAAAAAACATTGTTCAGGGTAGTGTAAAAACTTAAGCAATTGGTCAAACACCTGCAACATGTTGTCCATCACGCAGAGGTCCCTGAGCTAAGCGAGCATGATAAACGCCTCCCAGGAAACACAGATGTGGAGAGGCCCCATGAGGAAATCGGGAGACTCCTAATCGCGAGCCATTGTCCTTGAAGATTAAGGCCCTCTGAAAAAGAACAAACTAGCTGAAGCTAGGCAGGAGATAAGAAAGTGCAAACATAAACCAAAGAAAGACCAATTCCAAACCGTAGACAAAGTATAAGAAAGGATGCTCTCCAAAGATCACCAGAGGTGGCTGGAGACCACTGACGACCCCTGCCGAAGTCCCTCAGATACCTAAACTGCACACATAATAATTATGTGATTACGGTAATGACTTTTTTGAAACTGCACGAATATGCACATAACAGAGCGATATAAACTTTGGCTATTATCACGTACAGCAAACGCGTTAGGCAGAATGATTCCCTCACGTCCCCGGCAGAAAAAAGTAATGCCTGCTCGTTAACGCTAAACCCAATTTTGGTGATGGAGAGAGAGAGACAGGGAGTCACTGAGAATAGATACGAGTCACCGGGTAGAGGGAGACCTTCCAATGCGATTTTCACAAGCGACGGGGAAGGCGGCAGCGTGGAAGGAATGAAATGCTTCAGGCGGCTGGGGAGCCAGCAAGGGAGCGGCGTGGAAAGGACGTGGAGAAGGTGACGGGGGACGGGGCGGTGTCGGCAGAACAGCAGAAAGCTGCGGGGACCCGGCCAGCCCGAAAGGCAGCCGGAGGCGGGAGCAGGCGGGCAGCTGGAGAAGCGCGGCCGGGACCGGCCCGGGGGGACGCGCGACCCGCCGCAGCTCCCGGTACCGGCCCCGGCCCGAGGCTTTCGCAGCCCCGGGGCTCGTCTCTCCGCCTCCGCCCCTTCCCACCTCCGCAGCGCCGGCTGCCCGACCCTCACCCACGCGGGGGCGGGCGGCACGCGCCTCCGAGCGCCTCCCCCGCGAGGCTTCCCGGCCACCCGGCGGCTCGGGGGCGCCGAGCTCCCGGCGCCGGTGCTGCGCCCCGTCGGGGCCGGCCGGGAGGAATCCTTCCTCGCCGCACGGACCGGCCGCTCCTGGCCGCGGGCAGACGCGGCTGAGACTCTCTTTCTTCCGCTCCTCGGCCAGCTCCCGCGGGCGGGCAGCCCCCCCGCCCCCGACTCCCAGCTGGAGCCCCTCGGCACGGCGGGGCCGGCCCCACCCGCAGCCTCACCGGCTGCCCCTGGGGCTGCCCCAGTCCAGCCCCAGCTCCCCAGCTCCCCAGCTGCAGCCTATTTAAAACCTTGGCCCGGTCCCATCCTCACCTCACCGGTCCCACCTGAGCTGCCCCGGCCCCAGCCCACAGCTGGAGCCCGTGGGGAGCAGGGGGACCGGTGGTACCCGGTGTGCAATAAGCCCATGTGAACAGGCTCAGGAGAGATACAGGACTGCCTGGATGCCCTGTATACCAAACAGACAACTTGCACCCCAGCTAGGACCCCTGCACCATGTCTGGGCTCCCTGCATCCCTACCAGATGCCCTGCAGCCGAACCACAACCCCCTACAGCTTGCCTGGACCCCCTGAATGCTGTTTGGGTCCCCTGAGCCATGTCTGGGCCCCTGCATCATAAACAGACCCCCTGAACCCCAACCAGAACACCCTGCACCTTGCCTGGATGCCCTGAATACTGTCTGAACCCCCTGCACCACAAGAAGATCTCCTGAACCCTGTAGGTCCAGGAAGGAGGCAGAGGGTAACAGGAGCCCCACAGGTGGAGAACACAAACATGGAACACAAATAGAATTGGCAACAGTACAAACAACATCTTCAACTCACTGTGTAAAGTTGGGTAGCATCTGCCCTTGGCACCCCAATCTGACCAGCATCATATCCAAGTCAGAAATGTCCTGGAAGGTGAGGGAAGAGCCACCAGCCTGGGCCTCAACAGGAAAAATAGACCAGTCCTCCCTCTCGTCTGGGGCTTCTCCCTCTCCATCTGCAAAACGTGCAGAAGGTGCTTCCTTGCACGTGGGTCGGGACCAGCCAGGCCATGGCCAGGGAGCAGAGGAAGGGGGAGCAGCTGAAGACAAGGACAGAGCGTGACGGCAATGCATCACCTGCTCTCTGCTGGGCCAGCCCCACCACAGCCCGAGCCAAACAGGGCCACTACCTGCAGCTTGTTCATCCCCGGCTTCTGGATGGCCCGGATTGTCCCCAGCACACACTCTGGCTGCTGTATGAGGACCATGGCTTTCTCCATCTCAGGCACTGCAGGTGGAGACCCCCATTTCAGGGATGCCCCCAAGAGCCCGTGCAGCTCCTGGGGATGCTCTCCAGCCCCCGCTGTGCTCTCCGTCCTGGCACAGAGGAGAAGCACTTGGCCGGGAGTGAAGCCAGTGAGGAGTCAGGGTGGGGGTCCCTGTCCCCCCTGGGGCTCTCCTCTCCTCGGCCCCAGGCAGCACCTTCCCCCCCTCCAAACTGGCCGCAGGCACGGCAGTGACAGAGGATTTGTGGCCTCCTCACTGGCATGAGCAAGCCTGGGCCTCAGCTTCCTCCTGTGTGGGCTGCTACAAGGGCAACTGGGGCCTCCCCCTGGGGAGGTCCCTATCCAGGCTAAATAATCTTAATCAGCTGCAGGGGCACCACACGGCTGGTTTTGCCCAGAGCAGCCCCCAGCAGGGTGCAGGTACAGGGTGGGTGTCCCCTGGGCTGTGCCTGAGCGAAGGCTGAGGGTGGCCATGGAGCGAGGGGGACCGGGGGAACCAGGACCCCACTGTCTGTGGAGGGGTTCACAGCCAGTCGTGGGTCCACCCTGCATTTGTGATGTCACAGTGAGGCATATTTGACAGCCACCAGACAGACAGGGTGTCAGAGATGGTGTTGGAGCGCCAGGAAAAAGACCTGGAGCAGCTCATGGAGAAGCACCTTCCCCTGCCTCAGGCTTCCACATGGGCAAGAGCACCCAATATTCATCCTCACCCGTGGACTGGCAGATGAGTCCTATGTCTTGCACCGTCTTCAATGAGCTTCGCATGGAAGGGAAACTCTGTGATGTGACCATCAGCATGAATGGTGTTGAATTCAATGCTCACAAGATCATCCTCTGTAGCTGCAGTCCCTATTTCAGGTCAGTGCTTGAAAGAAGAGGGCATGGGGACAAACAGTATTTCCTTGTCTGGGTCACACTGCCTTGGTGTACCTCCATTGCGTCCATCAGCACTACAAATCTCATCCAGCAGATCCCCATAGTCCTGATACATCCCTGGACACCAGAATTAATCCACAACCTAGTGTCTAATGAACCCTCAGATGTGGCGCAGGGCTGGAAGCATGTCCAGCCTGGCTTACCTGTCCTCGAGAGGGAGATTTTCCTCCCCCACACACCGTTATTCTCTGCTGTTCTTGTTGAAGCAAGGTGACCACTCACCCTGTTGATCTCTGTCCACAGTCAGAGGCTGTAACTCCTTTTTAAAACAGCCAGCTAGTAAAACATTGATTAATAAACTACATGGCCTCCCAGCATGGATACTGCTAGGCCCAAATTGTTGTCCAGGGAAGAAGGCACAGGGGCAAAGGGGTCAGGGTTTAACACTGCAAAGCTGTTTTTTCCCTCAGCAATGCTTTGTTTTTTTCAGGGTTTTGTTTACCAGCGGCTGGAACAACGCAGAGAAGAGTGTATATCGAATCCATGGCACTTCCCCTGAAATGATGAGGCTCATCATCGAGTACGCCTACACCAGGACAGTACCAATCACGGCTGACAATGTTGAAAATTTGCTAACCGCAGCAGACCAGTTCAATGTCATGGGCATCGTCAGGCTCTGCTGTGAGTTCTTAAAATCCCAGCTATGCTTGGAAAATTGTGTCGGCATCTGGAGACTCACAGGTTATTACTACTGTCCTGACCTGCGAGAAGCGGCGCAGGTGTTCATCCTCCATCACTTTGTGGAGATGACCAAGGTGTCTACAGAGTTCCTAGACCTCTCTGTCAATGACCTAGAGCACATTATTGAGAAGGATGAGCTCAACGTGACACAGGAAGATGCTGTGTTCGAAGCTATTCTGCAGTGGATTGCTCATGACCTGCGGAGCAGGAGGCAGCACATCGCAGTCTTGCTGGGCAAGGTCAGTGTCACGGTACAGGCCCCGGCAGCTCTGCAGAGCAGGGCACGGGGCAGCTGAGCTAGGGATGCTTTGCTTTTCTGGGAAAACCAGAGGGACCTGCAGCCTCCTAATGCTGCTCACACAGAAGTGAGCTTTCAGCCCGATAGGTCACTGCTACACTGGGACATGGGCCGAAGGTCCTATGCTGCGTTTGGGGCACATTTCCTCGTGTTTGGAGCTCAAGTCTAACTGTTCCTCACATCCAGGAAGGGCCAAAATTCACATGGGATGACAGAAACACCAAGTTTATGGGCATTTTCCTGAACACTATGCAAATAGCAGCAGGCGTTAGGGCAGTTTCAGTCTGCATACAGGAAAGCACCATGCCAAAGCAGCAGCAGACTCTTTTCCATGAAATCAAATTATTTACCCTTGCATACCCCTTTCTGGGCTAGCTAAATCTACACCTTTAATTCTCTGGTTCTCTAATGAGTTTTAGACAGCACTGTAGCCTGAAAGCAAAGCCATCCAGCATTGGAGCCGTCCATGAAGGATACCGAGGTGTGAACTATCTGCACTGATATTCTAACCTGTTTGGATTTTTCAGGTTCGACTGGCACTGATGCAAGCAGAATACTTAATGAACAATGTCAAAATGCATGATTATGTGAAGGACAACGAGGAGTGCAAAGCTCTCATCAGAAACGCACAGACGGAAATGTACAACCTCAATATGCATGGCCCAACCTATTCCGATTTTGCCAACCCGCTCAGTCGGCCGCGCCTGCCCTATGCCATCTTGTTTGCTATCGGAGGCTGGAGTGGGGGTAGCCCGACCAACGCCGTTGAGACATACGATGCCCGTGCAGACCAGTGGGTGAACGTCACATGTGAGCAAGAAAGCCCCCTTGCCTATCACGGCACTGCTTATTTAAAAGGCTTTGTCTACGTTATTGGAGGATTTAATGGCATGGATCATCTGAGCAGCGTGAAGCGGTTAGACCCACTAAAGAAAACATGGCAGCAGGTTGCACCCATGCACTCGCGGCGCTGCTATGTCAGCGTTGCTGTTCTCAACAACTTCATCTACGCCCTGGGGGGGTTTGATGGACACGTGCGCCTCGACACAGCAGAACGGTATGAGCCAGAGACGAACCAGTGGACACTGATCGCCCCCATGCATGAGCAGAGAAGTGATGCTAACGCGACCACGCTGCATGAAAAGGTAAACAGACTGCGAGATTATGGGAAGCAGTTAAGGTTGAACGATAGTGAGCAGGATAAGGAACCAGAGGAACATCAGTGCACAGCATTACACAGCGAGCAAGTGCCTGTCATTTCACATGGCACGCATCGAGGTAGGGACTTCCGTGGAGTTCAGCCTCTTACTGGGCTACGCACCTGATAAACACAGCTACCAGTCTGAGAAAAGAGGAGCAGTGGGAGCAGAAAAGGTAACAAATGCTTGCTGTAATGTGATGAATCAATTAAAAGAAAGAGGAAAAAAGTTCATGTAAACCTTGCTCATTAAATCCTGGAGCTACAGATATAAAGCGCTCCAAGAGGCAGCACCTGACTGGCATGGCGGAGATGCAGACAGGAGTGCTAAAACTGTCCCAGAGCTGCTTCCCATCAACTCTCCGCTTGCTGCTGGGCAGCACTTTTCCTGGCCACAAGGGAAATACTATGCCTATCTGCTTCATGCATCTCAGGAAATAGCAGGTCTAAATCCCGCTGGCCTGAACAACTCACTGCACTTTTACTACTGCAAACCCAGAAAGACAGGACCAATCCCATTAAAAACAAAACAAAACACCCCCACTCCCTCCCAAAATAGAGCCACACCATTCATTTTCTCTTCAGCATGTTCTCTCACCAAGAATATAGCTGCCCTGCTGCCTTTTTTTTTCCCCTATATACAGGTGTATATATGTGGTGGGTTCAACGGACATGAAGGCTTGATCACAGCTGAAGTGTATGATGCCACAACAAATCAATGGACGGTTACCGCCCCAATGAGAAGCAGAAGAAGCGGAGTGGGTGTGATTGCGTATGGAAACAAAGTGTATGCGGTAAGGGTGAAGTAGTACCTCTGCTGTAGCACCACCCAGCACTTGTAGGACTTACTTCTGCTTATCTGCATTTCCTAGATTTTCAGGATGGGCAGTTGCTTGTCAGTGAGATTTAGGGAAGAATGTCAGATCCAGAATGGTTGATACGCCTCCTGAGACCATTGTCACCTGCACGCTTTTTGTTATGAAAAGTGTATGGGCAATTTTTAAGCAGCTGCAGCAAAGGAGTTATTTCTGCTGCTGCTAACAGCACTAGCAGCACAGAACATTTGCTTGGTCCTGTTTATCCTCTCCACATACTGAATTTAAACACTGTAGAAGTGTAAAATCTGAGAGCTGCACAAAATACTTTTGGAAGCTCCAGAAAGAACAAGGGAGAAGTCTGTGATAAGCAAGCATTATGTTTTGAGATCACACGCTCTCAGCAATGCTCAAACTGAAGTCAGTGAGGCAGGACCAGTTCCTATCTTCATTGTGCGTGAAAGGATGCGGCTGACTTGGCAGGGGAGAAAAGGCCTATTTCAACACTGTACCCTTGGCATTCACAGGTAGGAGGGTTTGATGGGGTCAGTCGACTTCGGAGCGTGGAAGCTTACAACCCTGTGGCCAACACATGGCGCACAGTCCGCAGCATGTTCAGTCATCGCAGCAACTTTGGCATTGCAGTGGTGGATGATCTTTTGTTCGTGGTTGGTGGCTATAACGGTTCCACTACTACTTTCAGTGCTGAGTGTTACGATGAAAACACCAACGAGTGGCATGATGTTGATGACATGGGCATACACCGTAGTGCTCTGAGCTGCTGTGTGGTGCCAGGTCTATCTAATGTCCGGGAGTACGCTGCCAGGCGAGACCGCCGCAGGGACAACTCTTAGGGGGAAGCCAGGTTCACTTCTTCAACAAGTGGCCTGCCTGTATAAACAGCTCCACTTACCTAAGAAAGTCTTCTGAGCAGCAAGTGAATGTATGCACTTACTCTAAAATAAAAACAATTGGTACCGGCCGAAAGAATAATTACTATTTAAAACTTCCATTCTGTAGCAGAAAAAAAATGTGCACATGAGCCACAGCCTACATAGCAACTTAAGAAATGGTACAACAAAAAGTTAAATAAAAGGTTTATCTTCATTAATTCACTCACTACAGTAAATGTTCGTGTGAGCCGGCACAGGCAGGACACAGGAACAACCACAAAACCATGGATGAAATGCAAAGAGTAAACTTATTCTTGTTACCTTAAGACCCAGTGGATCTCTGCAGCAGCATCCAGGCAAAGGCATGCAAGTGGGGACGCAGCCACCACAGAACTTGATCCTTGCTAGCCAGAAAGAGGGAAAAAAAGAAAAGATCTTGGGCCTGCTGCTTTCGCCTGTATATATCTGGGATTTTCACAGGCATAGTTTTCCACTGTGCTTTGATCTTTCCCCCAGCAGGGCAGGAATCTCAAGGATGTTTGATAAGATGCTGCTGAGCGTCTCACAGACCTATGTTATCTAAATGCAGACATTCCACCCATCAAGCACACAGAGCTAAACAATAATTAGTGTGATATATGTGTTTTTCAACACCCCATCTGTGAGTCCCTTAAGGGTATTTACAATACTCCTCACCGACCTTCCATTATATTCCCACTTTCCACCCCTTCGCTCAAGTGACTGCTACTGCTGTGGCTGGTAAAGCTGGAGGTGTTCATTTGGGTTTGTGTGGTGTATTGCAGTGCAGTTTACAGAGGCACGCAATAATCACATATGAAGAAAAAAAAGAAATAAACCTATTTCTACAATAATGCTTTTGAATTGGGTGTCCCATTCATCCTGGCAGAGAGTTAACCACTCAGTCAGCCAGGCACCATCAGTAGATTGTTCCACTTTATGTATTAAGTCCTTGAGATGTTGAATGTTGTTCTCTGTGCTGGACAACGCATCAGTTATGTTGAAGCAACACGTGCCTTCAAAACTGAAGCAGCGTTTATGTTGTTGAAGGAGGAAATAGTCCACTGTCAATCAGTTTTGTGATGTTCATTGACATACAGCCATTACCTACTCAGAAACAATAGCAATGAGAAACATTAATATAAAAATCACTTCTGTAACATAGCTACTGGAGTTAGCACTCCAGTGAAACACATTATCAAAAGGTCTGCAGTTGTTAATCTCGCCTTAATATAAAAGGCAGATGAGTCAGTTACAGTAAAGGCCAACCAAATCTAAGCATTCGCATGCTGATCTTGCAGACATGTCATGTGCTTGTAGTATAGGACTATAAATCCAACCTGTGATAGGGGAGGAAAACAGGGTGTCATCTTCTTCCAGTAATACATACACTGTTGCTCCGGTTCCTTCAGTTAACATTACTCTGGGTTTGATAACCTGATGTGGGGTAATTCCCCACACAGATTGGAGAGCTATGTCTTGCATTCTTTTAGATTGCACTGTAATTAGATGTTGGTCTGTTTGCTGTACCTTATTAGGTATTTCTATAATCTGTCCATACCAAACTACTCCCCAAAATTGTATGATATTACCAAGGCCCCGTATTTTCTTTGGATTGGTTGCCCAGCCTCAGTCCTGTAAATGCACATTCAGCAATTCAGCAGCTCCTGCAATTTGTTGTTGTAACTCTGACATAATCAATAAATCATCAGTATAATGGTAGACAGTCATGGTACCAGGCCATAGTGCCACATCAGCTGCTATCATTTGGTGGCAAATGGAGGGACTGTATTTGTATTCCTGAGGCAATGCTTGGAAAGTGTATTGCTTTTGTCGCCAGGTAAAGGCAATCTGGTCTTGGTCTTTTCTGAACCAATAGCTATTGAAAAGAAACCATTAGCAAGGTCTGTCACCAGCTTCCAGACTTTTACATTTTTGCTGATTTTTTTCTTTCAGAGTAACTACATCTGGTACCATAACTGCAACAGGAGGGGTGACTTTATTCAGTTCTCTGTAATCTACAGTTGTTCTCCAAGTGCCGTCTGGGTAACAAACAGGCGAAATAGGAATATTAAATGCAGTCATAGTTTCTCTAACAATCCCCACTTGTTGAAATGCCTGAAAGGTTTGAGTCATTTCCTCCTCCTCTCTCCCCCACTCCTCCCCGCCCCCAGAATACAACACTGTTTTACAGTTAGCAATTTACCAACTTGTCAGGCACAGGCAGCAGAACAGTATCCCACTTGGGGAATCCATGCAAGACAGTTATAGATTGCATAGCAAATCCCGCTTGCAAAGTCCCCAAGCAGAATCAACCATTTAATGTTTCAACTGTTTGTCCTGCCAACACATCCACACCCAAGATATAGTCTTTAATTAGGACTATTAACACCATCACAGTGAATGGTGTGATATTCCCTACTGTTAAGGTAACTTTAACTGGGAGGGCAGGAGTTGAATTCCCCCCAATCCCCAGATCTGTGATGTGGCTTCTTTATTACCAATATTAGTGTAATTCAATAATCCCAGTTTCCTAATCTGCCAAAGCTAATACACGTAAAATTCCCCCAGATCACCACTTTATAATCAGAGGAACATAAGTGTGTTTGTACCCCTCATGGTAAGAGGCTGCAGTAGTGGCAATTTTGGGGACCCGCCAAATCTTAATTTGTACTTTTTTGGCATTTTCTAGGTAGTGTCTTACCTTGAGGTGGTAAGCAGGGCAGAAGGTGGTTGTGGAGTTGGTGGTAGGGTTGGGGATGGTTGGATTTTTTGCATAAATGATAACTTTTGCCATTAGCAAAACATTTCTGATGCTGTGATCCCATCTATTTCTGATTGTCAGATACCGGCTCGTACAAGATCATTCTACATTTGTCTTCTCATCACCTGTGCTGTGGCTCCTTTCAGTTTTGATGACTTTACTTTATTCACCACCTGAACAGATGGCCCTGAAATTACAGCCCCAATTTCCCTCAAGGTATCTGCTAGGGTGCCTACAATACCTGTAGCATTTGTCACTGCTGGTATAATCAAGGTTTTACTGAGGCAGGTGGTCGTCTCACAAACTGCATTTTGATATTTCTCATTACTGCTACCCTGTCCAAATTAAATTCAAAGTCATTCTCAGAATCCAAGGATTCACTCTGAATATTTCCATCCCATTCCTCAGGATCACTTGACTGTTTTATGGTGAGAGCACGGACTTGGGACATCAAAACTTTACTTTTCCCATATTTGTCACTTTGTTTATTAGCAATAGGTGCTACTAACTGCTCTACATTATCTTGCAGTTCATAGCACCACTCTGATTGAACAGCAATTACTTCTTGCGCACCCTCCTTTGCATCTTGTAAAGTCCCAATTTCCTTTTCCAAGTCTCTCATCATGCAACAATATCACTGCCAAGGGTTCTAGGACTGGTAACTGATAACTATCCCAGGGGTCTAGGTTTTTTTTTTTCATTTTTCAACTCAAGACTTCCTTTATGAAAGCACCCTTGAGATCCAGAAGGGTGGAAGCTTTCTACACCTGTTAAGCATATTAAATTAGCATGTAGAGATCTTGGGGAAAAAAAAAAGACCTGGGAACAGACCATCTCCAGTGCAGCTCGATGAGTGGCTCAGGTCACCTGTGTGTGATTCAAGCTGTCTTCTCTTAAGTGTAACATTCGGTACAAAGGAGACAACGAAAACAAGGCATTACAACCATTGCCACTGACAGTCCCCATCAACAAGGTCATCTTGTTAAGAAACAGGTTTCCACTCTTCCTTCTTCCTTGTTCTGGTGAAGAAGCTGGTTTCCTGGTAAACATGGGCAGTGAAGTTTGAGTAAAAAAGACAACACTTCACCTTGAAGATGCTTCTGCAGTGTCCCACAAGAGCTGCAGTACATACACCTTCCATCCCCTTTCTGAACCTGTTGCAAGGCATCCTAGATATGATATCAGTTTATGAGGCAAAAATGAGGCAGAAATGTGTAGGTGTTTCTCCTCACAGAAAGTATAAAACACCTAGCTCCCAAGCGTGCCATGAGACTTACTGTAAAATGAGCAAAGGTGCTTTTCCATTGGAATTCTCTTTCATCTCTGAATGCCAGTGCTTGAACTACTCTGCGCTCTAGACATCGAATCCAGCAAGAGAGGGGTTGAGAATGGGGATGTGAGCAGGTACAGGGTCTAGGTCAGCAACCAAGCAAAGGGGTCTTTCTTGGCAGCAGCCATGCTCTGGAGACCTGTGTAAAAAGTCAGTTCTTCTCCAGCCTAGGAGGGAAGCGAGGACGCTTTAGCACAGAATTACCAAGGGATTTTATTCATTTTATTTAGTTTTGCATATAGAACCCGCATGAAACAGTTCTCTATGCCTTCCCTATTATCTTCTCAGGCACATATGACATCAAAAACCACTTCACAAATCACATAGAAACTCCTGACCTATGAGCTACTCAGCCGCCAGTGGTGTCATAAGCACCTGAGAAAGAAACGGGCTAGTTCCTGCCATGAATGACATCACAGACACCGAAGAAGGCCATGTGTCTTTTCCTATCTATCTTCTACTCAGTCACAAGTGATATCACTAGCATCTGCACAAGTCATTTAAAAATTCCTGCCCTATCTGTTACTCGGCAGCAGGTGACAACACAAATACCTGCAGCAGAAGCCAGATTTCTCCTCCTTCCCCATTAACTGCTCAGCCACCACTTTCTCCACAAGGACCTGCACAGTATGAGCATTTCAGTTTCAAAATGTCATCTTCTTCACCTCCATCTCTATCTTGTGTCCTGTCTTGACATGGTCATTTCCCTACCAGGCAATTTTATCAGTCACTTCATGACTCCCAGTGATTTCTACTGTTACTGTGTTCCTGTGGCAGTTGGTACCTTGAAAGGACTGTCCCAGCCATATGACCTGCACCTATTTCTCTTCTCCCTCTGCTTTGTGCTCT